CCCCCCTACTTCCCCCAATTTGGCAGAGTCGGGAGCTATTGTGTTTCAGCTCAGAGGGAGGATGCTACCGGCCTCGACGGAGCAGAGGACAGAAATGTCCCCGAGCATCACACGACGCCCAGAAGAGCACCCACGCCCAGAGGTAACGGGCCTGTGTCACCCATGCCCAGGTTCAGAAACCCTGCTCTAGTGTTTACAAAACACATCTCAAATGTACTTTGATAATACTGTATCACTCAGTGTAACCTAAGGATCCTTCCATTTACTCCTTCCTATCTTGTCCCTGTTGCCTCATGCGACTAGCTAGCTGTGACACTGGGCGTAACTAATCCACCTCTCTGGGCCCAGTTTTCCTCTTAAGAAAGTTGAGAATGTCTACCTCACAGGCACTTTGCGAGAATTAAAACAAGGTAAGCAGAGAGCTTAGCACGGTGCCCACGCACTTCCGTTGGTAACTTCTCAATGAGCCGTAACGACTGTAAATCAAGAGACTCTAACGGATCTGAAACGAACGGAGGACGTTTCTGCAGAGAAATCTAAGTGACCTGCAGTCAGTCCCCCACGGCTCAGCGTTTCTCACAAATGCCCCTCCCGTAGCTGTCCACCTCCAGCATGACGACGAGGCTGCGCCCTGCCGGACTGGCTGGCCGTCTGACTCAGGAGGGAATTTCAAGAATCTTTTGGCCTCTGATATATAATCCCTTTTATTTACCTACGTTTAATTGAAGACATGTGCAGGTGGTGCCACACAAAATGCAACTCAGACCTGGAAACGTCAATAAAAGCGTCTGTGCGGGAGGGGCCGGCGGGGAGCTGGTGGGGCGCGCCCGTCGGCAGCCTCGGCGCTGCACACAATCAGGACCCGGATGGAAACCCGCTGCCCGGCTTGACGAGGTGATAAAAGCTCCTTCCCCATAAAGCGTAATGAGCTCCATTAGTCTTCGGCTCCCAGGAATGGAAAAGGGTCAGCCCCACAGAGGGAAGTAACCGACTCTCCACACATGGCCCCGTTCAAGTGACAGCGGATCACGTTACTGATGTGATCACTGTAACTTGACAATTTCGTTAGATCCATGTGGCAGTTAACTGCTCGGGACTCACAACAAGGGGACGTGGTTCATTCGCAGCAGCTTGTGTGGACGCAGTGAAATGTGAAGTCTCCTTCACGTTCAACTCAAGTCCCACGTACTTGATTGTCCCTACCAGAAGTATATTTTTTTATTCAAAATTAGCGAAGGTGTTTGGGTATCTACCATATTTGTTATTTTTCTTCTCCAACTGACACACTAGTCTGGTGGCGACATTAAACATTTAGGGACTCCCGCCACTTGCCTGCCTGGGCTTCGCTTCGGCTCTCGGGCCCTGCGGGGGCAAAGGCGCAGAGTCCAGAGTGCCTGCTGCCGGGGACTGGGGGGCAGCAGCCAGTAACTATGTCATCGGTGGCTCCTGGGAAGCCCCAGGCTAGAAAAATACCCACAGAGAGCCCTCAAGTATTTCCCAAATACTTCAAGAGAAGCAAAGCCAAGTGGTCACCTTTAATTTTGACTTTGTTCCCTCTGCCCATGTCCATTAAGTCCCATAAGAAACAAATCAATTTGGCCAAGGGAAAGTAAATACAGCTCCAAGTCCCTAAGTGGAAAGAGCGGATCGGACAGAAAATGACAGAAACCATCGCAAAGCTTCCATCCTGATGATTTCCCTTCTGATTTCACCCAAGGTTAATGCTTGTGCACATAAGGTCCCAGTACTTAACCAGAGTAGCAAGACGCGATGTAAAAACATGTATGTGCACGGCAAAGCTCTGGAAGTACACGGTGGACACGCTCCGGTGTAGCTTCCTCTACAAGGTGAAGAGCACGAAGACGTGAGGTAGCTGCGATCAGCTGGGAGGACAGAGCATTAACCATACCAGATACAAACATTAGGCCTTTTGTGCTTTCAGCTGCCAAAAGGCGGTAAAAGCCTGCTATACTCAGCCTCAGGCACCCTAGCTTAGTCATTCATTCATTCATTCATTCATTCGACAGCTATTTACTCAGGGCCTCCTATGCACTACACTGAGAGTGGAGCAAGGGAGCAGGAAAACCGGGTCTCCTCCCTGACCTTCCATTTGAGAGAAGCCCGTTAGTGAGGTCTGTTCAACAGCATCTCCAAACGGCCACTTGGCCTGCTGATGTGGACGTCAGCTCCAGCACCCTGATCCGCTCCCTCCGGGGCGAGTCCACTCGGCCTAACCGTCTTCCGTTCACAGCCCGCACTCTGCTACTCCTCTAGGTTCTTGCTGCAGTGAGAACCCAGCCTTGAACACGTTGTCTCCAGCCCAAGCTCCTGCCAGCCCCCTTCTTCCCAAGACTGGACCCGACACCGGTCATTTCCACACCCATCAGAGGATTGCCCCTGACTACCTGGCACTCACACACGGACTCCAGGGGCCATCCTCAAAACCTGCCCCGGTGCCTCTCGCCCCCAGAGCGGCTCCCTCATGGACGAGCGAAGGGCAGAACAACGTAACATTCTGCAGTGGATGTTAACATTTTGTGCGCCTCCTTCCTAATTTCTGTATGCTTAAGTTGTTTTTAAATTTAGATCCGCATGTACAGATTTGCATCCTGTTTTTTATCTTGATACAGCAAGTATTTTACACTGCTATTGCTTATCAGTATGTACTCACGCACATTTATGTACAGTCCTCACTTTATTTTTGTTAAAGATTTTATTTATTTTTAGAGAGAGGGGGAGGGAGGGAGGAGGAGAGGGAGAGACACACGGATGTGTGAGAGACCGCGACCGGCTGCCTCTCGCGCGCCGCGCACTGGGGACCTGGCCCGCGACCCAGTCCTCAATCGAGGGGCTCTAGTGTGCTCTGTCGTGCGGCCGGCTGCACCGTGACTTATTTTACCTTTTCCTACCGCCGGACGCTCACGTTGTTTATAAATGTTTGCCATTATAGATAATGCTGTAGCAAACATATGTATGTAAGTTTCGTCCCCATCTTTGATCATTTCTCTGGCAGCGATTCACAGACTAGAATTACTCGAGTACAAGGTAGAATTTATATAATTCTATCTTTAATGTGCATGACCAGACAGACTCCTATTGTAAAGAATGAAGTTTAAAAACACACCACATCTTCCCATTCACTTAAAAAAAAAAAAAAGCTAGCTTCATAGGTAAAAAAAAAAAAAACTATACATCACTGGTTTTTTAACCTGCATTTCATTGATTGCTTATAAGGACTTTTTTATAAAGATTTTATTTATTTATTTTTAGAGAGGGAAGGGAGGGAGAAAGAGAGAGAGAAACATCAATGTGCGGTTGCTGGGGGCCATGGCCTGCAACCTAGGCATGTGCCCTGACTGGGAATTGAACCTGCGATGCCTGGTTCACAGCCCGCAATCAATCCACTGAGCTATGCCAGCCAGGACTTGCTTATAAGGACTTTTAAGACATTTATTACCATTTGTATTTCATCTCATCAACTAACTGCTAAAATCCAACCAAATATTATGTAGCAGGAAACAAGACATTTTAAAATGAATTCTAAGAGGTCACGATAGTAAGTATAATAACATTTTCATCATACTTCCCCAAACTGCCTTTTAACTGTATATGATGTTATGAACAAAATTATGAATATTTTTACAAAATCAAATCTAATGTTTCCATTCTTTCCTTTGATACTTCCCTTTCTTCTACGCTTAGAAAGTGCTTACTCAACTAACAAGCATATTACACATAATTTATACTGTCTCATGATATGGTTTCTGTTTTTATTGTTTTTACACTGAACTTCACCTAAAACTGCACGCGACACGCCTTGTGCCCGTGCTTGCCGCACGTCGCCTCACTCTATTTTAATAACCTGTCAGTCTGCGTCATCTCCATTTTTAAGCTTCTCAAACGATGAAATGACTTGTTCATGGGACTCCCTCTCGCTCTCACTCCGAAGCCCAGACGCTCCCCACCGTCCAGACGGCAGGACACTGCACCCCGACTCCTCCTGAGGAGGGTCTGACTTCGGCAAGCTGGGAGTGGGGGAAGGGAACACAAGGTGACAAGGACGCCAGAGGCAACACGAAGGACAAGTGAAAGGCAGGGAACAGAGTCGCACTGCGGGGACTGCTGTGAAGCCTAGGAGGAGATACAAACTATCGCTAAGGTGCGAGCAGCATTTTATAAACTGCTCCCCTGTCCACTGCTTCGTCTGGAGGTGGGAAGGATTACACCCATTTCACAGGGAAGAAGGCTGAGGCTCGGAGAAGCTGGGATCTGCCCGTGCGGCCCAGAAGGGATGATGTGATCTTAAGCCCCGGCCGGCTCTGAACACAGTCATCGCTCCACAGACTCCGCCGCCTCCCTCTCCCGCTCCTTCCTCCGAGTCCTCGCACCTCCACGGGTCGCTTGCTCCTTGCCACCCGTAGCTCACGAGGACTCCTGCTTCTCTGAACATCCCCTCACAACTCCATCACTGGGTTCCTAGGTGTGAACTGCAGAACCACTACAGGCACTGAATGGGAAAGCGAGCCAAGCGCCCAGAACAGTGCCCAGGCCACAGGAACGGCTCAGGAAAACTAAGTCCTTTTCTCCTCCCCGATCCACTCGCAGACTTTCAAAAGCTCTTTCGAACCAGATGGATCTTCCTGCGTGTTAGCTTCTGCCCACGGCTTCTCCAGCTCTCTCTAACGCCGGGGCAGGTAACAGAGAATAAGGCCGATGATAAACAGTTGTAAAAGTGGGAGATACAATAGTGCTCTTCAGTCTACTTGTTAAAAAAAAAATGTACTTAAAAAGAAGCAATGACCGATTATGAAAGTGAACAGCTCTGGAACTTATAGAAATTCATATTTAAAAAAATCTGTATTCATCTCCTTACTATTACTGAAGAATGAATGTGCCACAATAAAACAATCACTCCTAAATTATCAAGTAAGTGCCCAACAAAAGGTATGGATAATCACGTTCAGTTAGTGACCCCAGTACTCGTGTGCGTGAACTCTTACCTCCAAGGGGGAGCTGCAAAGGAACCTTGTGAACTGCAGGATCGAGTTTGAACAGAAGCAGTTTCGTCCAGTAAGTGGGCAGCAAGAGAGAACAAAAAAGGAAAAATTATTACACAATGTTTCAATTAGAGCATCTAAAGTAAACCTAAAAATCAATGTAAAATTAATGCTCTCATACACTGTGTATTTCATCCGAAGCCTATGAAAGTTCAATTTAGCCCACAGTAGGTATTCTAGTTATTTGAACTGAATAAGCATTTTTCAGTATCTGTACAAAGACAAATAAAACAAGTAAGTCCTAACACATTTCATTTCTTAAAGGTTCATTTCCTAACGCCAGTACAACACAGCATCCTCTTCAAAGGGAGAAGCCAGCCACTGGCCTGACCGTGAATGTCACGGGCCCCGCTGAGTAAGTGCCAAGAAAGAGGAATCGAAGGAGGGTCCGAGTGAGGGCACGACCCAAAGCCAGAGCGAGCAAAGGGGGCAGTCGCTGCTCTGCAATCTGGGGCCTGGCGACGTTCACCCATTTGGCCTGTCCTGTGTCTCTCGGCCCCACCTTCCCTCTGAAGGTGATGCTCACCTTCCCTCTGTCCTCTCTCGGGCGCGCAAAGGGGCGGACAGCACTTCGTGGGAAACCGAGCGTGCTGCCCCGCAGCCCTGAAGGGCAGATACGTAAACTGTGGAGGTAGGGAGCCACTACAAATGACAAAGCAAACGGCAGGCTAGCTCTGAACCAAGGACTGTCACACACCTTCATACATATTCATGATGGCAATTCACAATGTTTTCTTAGATGTTATTTACAAAATCAACATTTCAAACCCTTTGAGGTTTACTGCAATAATGAAATGCCCAAGTAGTATAAACTCTCGATCTTTTTAAATGCAAATTAACTACCAAAACTGATGGCAGGCCTATTTCAGGAAGTGTCCAGCTTCCCCTCCACAACAAAGCTGGCGAGCACTCACAGGGAATACAAATAATTTTATTTTCTTTTGGAGACACACACAGAAATATTTCGCAATGAGATTACATGATGTCTGGGATTTCCTTCAAAGTCACCGAGGGGTCAGGAGGGCAGTGACGGGGGAAGGGTGCAGACGAAACAAGACTGGCCATCACATTCAACCAGGGAGGACAGACGGTGACTTTGAGAATTCATGACACGATTCTCTCTGCTGCATGAATGTTTGAAGTTTCCATGATAAAGCTTAAAAAATATATCAGACACTTCCTCCCCTAAATACCAAAGTAAAGATATTCCTGAAATATTACCAGTACATGCCAAAGCCATGTAATTAGTATCACATAAGCTCTAGATGACAGGGTATACTAAAATCAGAAAACTGTAAGAATTTTTCCTTAATGATATCAATATGCAATTTGATATTAACTGTTAAGAGAACTTTCTGAAAGTGCAAGGTATTACAAAATTTTAAATTTTCATAATGTAAATTTAAAACAAATAAACAAAGTGAAATTGAAAGTGCAGCCTTTGTGGTCTTGGGATTCTTTTCACAGTCGCCCAACCTAAGACAGCCCCGCCCCTCCCTCCCCAGAGGAGAAGGTGAGAGCTGAAAGACAAGCCAGTTCTACCAGTACAGAAAGATGAGGCGTGGAGAGACTTTCACTTCGAAAGGAGAAAGCTGACACTGAGGGGTTTCTATGTTTCCTCTGGCACGTGCATGTTAACTATATCACAGGCACTGAACTTGAGAGTTTGGGGATGGTTCTAGTTCAGTAGGAACTGATGCCCCAGTCAGGAAGGAAGTCACTTTACATAACACTAAGGGTACATAAATACTCTCCGAGAAAACTGGCGTGTCTCCCTGAAGCTCCGATAATGTACATACATCTCTGTCCGGTGCCTATGTAACGTTCTTGTCACAGCTTTTTCAAAACAGACTTACAAATTCTTATCCCGTTTGAAGCTGCCAAAACATGAAATACGTAAACGTTCTCAGTCCCCGAAATAGTAAAAACAGAAAAATAAATCACAAGACACGCATTCATTCTCCTAGTTGTGGGACATGAAAAAAGTCCAAAAATGCTACTTCTCAGTTAGTGTTCCCAGGAAAACCCACTGCTATTTCCCTTTGGCTAATTGCTTAAGTCCTTTCATAATGAAACTGCACATGTATTCAGTACCAACGGAATACTTTGAAAAACTAACAGTTATAAAAGGGCAAGCAGAATCACAAAATACATTTTGTATACAGTGAAACTGACAGTAGAAATACATGCCTTTTAACAAATACCACCATCATGGTATTTTAACAAATACCACCTGACCAGTATAAAAAAATGAATCAATTTTGCTGTGAATCTAAAAGTTCTCTAAAACACAGTCAGTCACAACAACAACAACAACAACCACAACAACAACAAAGACTGGCTGCAGCCAGGAGCCCACAGTAACACCACTCTTCTAATGTAGCCATTTTTATACGGCCGTTCAAAAGTACTGTGCCATGCACGGGTATACTCGGTTAACAGATTTAACAGATTTAAGAGAAAGATCCTATCCTACTTATTTAGGCAAAATGTTGAGAAAAATATGTTTTATAAAATATCTTACTGACTTTACTGACAGGAATATACACCGTCACTCCGGAAACCACGTCAGGTGAGCACAGCCACACTTCTTACCTTCCTGGGACCCACTCTGAAGATGCCTTCCAGGAAACACACCTGGACTTCCTGCGGCTGAAAATCCAATGGCCGCCTGACATGTGGATTTCAGTCTCAAAGAAGTATGTTGCTTGTCAGTAACAGTATTAATAATGTTAATTTGATTCACTTGATAAATTTTAAAAAATTTTAATTGTGAGTTATTCTGTTTACTCTTGAATGTTTTAAAACAACATAAAGATTACATCTATATTTAGAATCCAGACATAAAAGGTGTCGGTGCCTTTTTTAAATCTTTCCGGTCTCTGTAGAGAGGAAAGCAACCCAGAGAGATCGGGGCTCGTGCTCCGCGGCCCCGCTGCCCCTGCGTCTCCTAAAACACTCACACCCCCATCCCAGTGCCATCACCCTGCTGGTCCCCCATCCCGGTCCCGTCCCCCCCGCCGGTCCCCCATCCCGGTCCCCTCACCCCGCTGGTCCCCCATCCCAGTCCCATTCCCCCGCTGGTCCCCCATCCCAGTGCCATCCCGTCCCCCTGCTGGCCCCTGGCACCTGTTTCCTAACCCGTCCTCACCGCTTCCGGAGAGGCCTTCCAACAAGCTTAACAACATTTTCTACCCAGTTTTCCAAGCACACACAGTTTATGATTACTAAATTCTTCCCTTTTTCCCTAAGACTTGGTATTAACCACGCCATTTACTTGGGGTGGGGTAAAGGATAAAAAGTAGAGGAGAACACACAGCTAGCTTTGTCAAAGTATTCCATTAAAACTATAATCAGCCATTTATCTTTATAATACAAAATATTGAAACACATAATTATGTTCCTGAAATGCCTTTTCTATTTAATAAGAAACCACTTTAAATTCTTTCACTTTAAAGAAAAAGAAACACTGAACAGCAACTTTTAAAAAATAAGCCACGTTCTTCTCCCTAAACCGAGGAACACGAGTGAGGCGCACCCACTGGTCGAAGTGGAACCTCAGGACTGTAACCGCTCGCTCAGGTCGCCGGGAATGTCCCTGCGTTCACAGGACACTGCGGGTCCCATTCCCTCGGCCTTTCGCCCCAGCATGTGGTACTTGCTATCTTACAGAGCGGGGTCAAAGCTGACTATTTTATGCTATAATTCAATAAAATCTTTGTTTAAAATTTTGTAACTAATCAATCTAAATCATACCTTGAGCCTCGACTGTTGTGGCTCAGTGGATTGGGCATGGGCTGCAAACCAAATGGCCGCCGGTTCGATTCCCAGTCAGGACACATGCCTGGGTTGTGGGCCAGGTCCCCAGCAGGGGGCACATAAGAGGCAACCACACACTGATATTTCTCTCCTCTTTCTTCCTCCCTTCCCCTCTCTCTCAAAATAAACAAATAAAATCTTTTAAAAAATAAATAAATCATACCTTGAAGAGTCTAAATTTTGTTTAGTTACACAGTGCTTTAGATTCCTATCCCCCTTCCCGAGAATTTCCAGTCCACATATATCCTATTTTAAATTAACTGTTTTTGAGGCAATGTGAAAACTAAGTCTTATGTTAAGGATGTGTCTCCCATAAACCTACAATTCTTAGAGGTTAATGTGATTACACAAGAAATGAAGTTCCATTATTTCCTATTTCACTGCAAAAAAAGGAAGAGAAAACTAAGATCCTGTTTATTCTAATTTTAGTGGGAAGTAAACAGAGTGGATTCAGGTAATTCCTTCCATTCATTTGCACAGCTCTTCTCTATTCCAGTTGTTGGCGACGTGGTCGACAGCTAGCCCTCCCTGCCTCTTCCCGTTAGAAGTAGATGTTAGGCTTAGACCAGACATTAAGCTTCAGTAAATTTTAAAAGTGAAGACAAAAATCTTACTTACATTTTAACATTTAAAACCTTGTCTTCTGGACCATGAAATCTTTTTTGCCAATGGACAGAGCAGTGATCTAAGAGTCACGCAGTCTGTAATCTCACTAGCTATAGTTACCCAAGTAACAAATTATTTGGGCTTTAGTTTTTCATCTGTGAAATGATGGCCACCGAACCACTTCCACCGGCTGGTGCCCTGTGGCATGCCAACTTCCCAGGACACCCTCGGAAAAACGATTCCATGGCCAAGCAAGCCCAGATAAGTTTGGGAAAGGCCGCATACCAGTGGTGTCTCCCCTCCCCTTCCTCCTCCTGGGAATACAGGGTGCAGTGATAAAGGAAAGGCTTCAAGAATTCCCGCAGTCAGAAACAAAAAACCCCAGAAGGTGAGTCAGTCCTAGAAATCTAAAGCACAGCATCACGATCATAGACGACTCTGCAGTCTATACTTGCAAACGGCTGAGAGTAGGTCTTAAATATTCTCACCATGAAAGAGAAACGGCAGTTGTGTGAAGGAGGCGTTAGCCAACAGCATGGTGGGAATCATAT